CTATATAATGTGGCAAGGCACAAGGATTTAGACAGATTTTGAGATGTGAGGGGAAGGCATGGATTCACTGACGTGTTACATCTGTGGCAAAATGAAAAGCAGAATTCCCTCTTGGTGTGCACTCGGAGGACTGAGTGGGTTTGGAAGTCTGAGGTACTTCTCCAGAAACTTCTCCTTAGTTTGCTACTTTACACTTCTCAATATAACTTTGGTCAAGAACACAACGCAGGAGCGTTCCATCTCTTTTCAGGAATGCTGGGAAAAATACATACACTACCTAATAGTATTTCATGACTCTAATTATCCAGGAGGCACAAAAAGAAGGGCTTAATTGAGAAGTATACATCGCACCTGCCTCCAGTTATGGGCCTGACCCAAAGGCTACATTTCGAAAAGAGTTGGAAACATGCACCTGAGGGCAAGATGTGCACAAGATGTAGAGATCCAAGCTTTGCCCTTAAACCAAAACAAACCTTTTCTCCTCATGAGTTGTTTACATCAGGTATTTTGTTACAGTGGCAGAAAGCTGACACAGTATTCTGTACACTGAGAGTGTATTTGTCCTCAGAATGTTCAAATAGCCAGTGCTTTGCCACAGCCTGGCTTGAGGACCGGGCCCCTCCTCTAGTTCCTGTCTCAGTAACTTCAGTCAGGGCAACAAGAGGGGCAGGTTTAGTGACTTGTAATGAAGTTGCCAGAGAACTGAAGCACCAATGGTCTTTACAGTTCATATGTTCCCAGTGATTTTATACCCTTTTCTCTGTCTCAGCAGGGACCCTGACATTCTCAACTGAGAGAAGCAAAGAGTATCAGGTTCTGAATTCCCATAGGTCCTCACCTAGGAAGAAACTCCATCACAATGAGTCATGGCAGCACTAAATACCCAAGGAGACGGAGCCCCTCCTGGAAACCTGACAGAGATGCTGGCCTTTGGCTTTATAAACATTGTACACTATGCAGCTTTGGGACCAGAAGACCATCTCAAACTAAATAATCAGAGTGCACAGAGTACTAATTGGAATCAGCAAGACATGGCAAATCAGTTTTTTTCTTCACTTTTTTTTTTTTTAATAATGGCAAAACATCTAAAGAGTCCTTAAATAATCACACAGTACCCTGGACTGGAGGGCAAAAGCTGTGAGAAAGAACCTTTGTTTTTCTCTTCTGGGCATGAAAGATGTTATACTGAAGGGACCTTAAAGACCAGGCAGTCCAACCTACTCATTTCCCAGACAAGAAAAATGAAGCCCAGAGAACAGATGGGCTGCCTCCTCTAGTCATATGGGGCTTAAAAATATATATGTATATTTATTTTTTTTCATGAGCTTTAGTGAGAGTGACCAGTGTTATCTCATTTCCTGGCTTCTCAAATCCGGGATCCAGCCAAATCTAACTATTATTTATAGTCTGAACATACCTTATACTTTTCTACCTCCATACCATCGCCCCCATCACGTGGAATGCCATTCTTTACTTCCCCAACCTCCCAACTTCCATCTTTCGAAAAGTTTTCATCCTTCAGTGATGAGCCAACATATAACCATCTCTTGGATAAACATTTTCCAGATGAAATGAGATTTCCTCTGTCAACTCCAACAACTATTACAATAGCAGCAACAGTGTTCACATGTTACCTATTATGGATTAGGCAGATTACTTACATTTTAATCTCATTGAGTCCTCAAAATAACCTTTTGACATTGGTGCTATCTTTCGTCATATGGTATTAATGAGGAAATGGAGAGTTTAAATCAGAGTCCTGGATCACTTGGCTAGTAAGTGACTCTGACAGTTTAATATAAATATGCTACCTATCATTATTATGCTGAGAGAGGAAACTAAGTTCTTTAATATGATATTTTCTCTAGTTCCCAATTCACCCAACAAAAAACAACAACAACAAAAAGCCAATTAATATATGGGAACTCAAGCTTCTTAGTTCATGGGTACAGGATCCCTGAATTTTCATACATTTTCAAAATTTAAATTTGGCCAAAGGCACAAAACACTGAACTTTAATTTAAGGGAGCCGGTGTATAAAAAATGTGTTGGAGTCACTTTTCTTTCAGGATGATGTTTATTGACTGTATGTCCCCAGTATCTTATGTCTGTTGTACCTGTTTATGGTCAAACTGGTCAGTGGTATAAATAGTCTTTTGTAACATACTCAGAAAGATCTAAAGGCTAACCCCTCCCCACCTACTGGAGATTGACTCGAGCCTCCAGATTTGAACACAACATTGTGTGCCTTTTTCTAGATAGGGGTTTTCTAGTGTCCACCAGATTCCCCAGGGGCTCTATGAATGAAGAAGCTCTCCTGAAAGAATGAGAAGAATCTGTGGTGGGTGGAAGAGTTCCTCTTAGGTTTGAACAAAACTTTTCCTTTAGGGGAGTTCAATGAAAGGGCAACTGTGATGGTTGAGATCTTAAATGCATCTCGAAGGCCCAGATTCTAAAGGCTTGTTTGCAAGTCTATGGCACTACTGGGAGGTAGAACCTTGAAGAAGTGGGGCCTAGTGGGAGGAGGCTAGGTCACTTGGGGTGTGCCCTTGAAGCAGATATTGGGACTCCAATCCCTTCCTGTCTCTCTGCTTTCAGGTTGCCATAAAGTGAGCAACTTGGCTTCACCACATATTCCTTGTCACCATGTCTGCCCTGCCACAGACCCCAAAACAATGGAGCCAATCAACCGTGCCCTGAAACCTCTCAAACTGTGAACCAAAACAAACCTTTCCTCCTCATGAGTTGTTTATATCAGGTATTTTATGTCACAGTGTCAGAAAGCTGATACGATATTTTGTATACCGAGAGTGTATTTGTCCTCAGAATGTTAAAACAGCCAGGAACTGGAGAGATTCACCCATGGCACCAGCCTTGATGATAAATCTGAGGCTCACACAAATGGAATCCCATATCTGAGTCCACACCATTCAGAACTGGTATAAAAGAGAGTCCAGTTCTCATTTCATTTTATAGTCCTTCCACTTTAATTCAAATAGCATCCTAATAAAATGATGACTGCTACAAAGAGGGGTCCATACAAAACCCAATATCTGCATATGGTTTGTGGAAGCACTTCTTTGTAAACTGGTTCCAGGGAATTTTATTAAAAAAAAAATAATCTTCTTCTAATGTTTTCTCTGGCTCCCAACGTTATAACATTATCTCTTTATAAATAAAGGATAAAATTGTATGTTTTTCTCCTAAAGAAGGCAAAAGGAGAATTGAGCTAACCTATAGTCAGTGCTGTAGTTTTTTTCTTGCCATCAAACGTCTTTTACTTTCCAATTTCTCTGTCTTTTTTTCTAAAGCCTCAAATACTTCAAATCCTCACAGGCCACCAGGGTGTATAACAAGGTGTCCACACGAACCTTTTACCCTCCAAGGGGAGAATAACCACAACTCCACAACACATCTTTATAGGAACAAAAAAGTGTAATCCTCCTTCTGTAGATTAAGAGACTAGGGTTTTCAGGCAAATTTACAATCTCACCAAGTAAAAGAGCAGGAGCTTTCATCTAACTCAGTTTTCCTTTTCAAGAACTTTACTTTAGAATGGTAAACATGGAGACCAAAGTCTTCAGGAGATCTCAAATGCAAGAAACACATCTCCACATGAATTAACCAGGTGTGTTCATGCATATATGTTATCAAGCAATGACACGTGCTTATGATCCTGTTACCATTTTTTTTTCTGCCCAGTGAATCTGAAAGCAAGTTGAAGTTTTGCTCCTGACTGAGAGAAAACTGAGGTGCAGAAAGCAGGTGGCTTGTCCTTGATCACATAATAAGTGAAAAGTTACATCAAAGAGAGTTATCACTGCACAGTGAGTGTGGAAATGTTCTTCCTAGTGATGCATTAATTTTAACAAAATGTTACCATAATGAAGTAGCATATTTAACTCTTGGAGGTTTTTTATAGCAGTTCTCTGTATGTGCAAAGTAAAATCTGATGATGTCTCCAAATAGAGTCTTTACCCTCCCCCTTTTTTAAATAAAGAACTTCAAGGGCAGAGTGGGAGAATTTAATGATAAAAATATAAAGAGTAGGATTCCTATTATCTTTCACCAAGAATAAGCTCAATTTTCCAGTTTCTTACTGTCTTAAAAAAATCCAGTTCTTGAGAAATCAGAGATACTTCAAAATTGAAAATAATATCCATCTAAATTTTTTTTTTGGTTCTTAAGAAATTAAAGATACTTTAAGATTTAAAATAATGCTAGCTATCAATCATTGAAGATTACTTCTTCTTTTAATGATTATGTTTCTTTGGTAAACAACTTTTCTCACTACTCTTCTTAAAGATCATCATTCTTAATTAAGCTAAATCAAGAAATTGATGTCATGTTGCATGTATTTGGCTCCTGGGCTGCTTCACCATTTTGAAAGAACCCCAGGGCAAGTCTTGCATGAAGAGATTAGAGTTGAAGGGAAATTTACAAGTCATCACACTAATCTTCCACTTTGGGCAGAAAACTGTTATTTACAATATGCCTGAGAGGCGACCAGGCAGTCTCTACTAGAATGTGACCAGTGACAAGGAACTCACTACTTCACACAGCAGTCACCCCCACCACCCTGTTCAACAAGTCTCATTTTTGACATTAATTCGTAATTTTCAATAAAAATCCAATTACTTGTAATTGTGCCCAGATCTGACTCAGGACCTGGCACAAAGTCTTTTCTTTCTTTACATATGAATTTCAAACACTTGTTTCCTTGCATCAAGCTTGTCTTCCTTTGAGGAAACACCCACAGTTCCTTTGCTTTGTCTTCCTGCACTCTGGGTTCAGACCTGCCAGGATCCTCCTCCTCTAAGAAAGCCATCCTCCTCTCCATCTACCATAATTTACTGTTCTCCTTTCGAAAATGTACACCTCTAAAATTAAGCAGCTTTTGGTAACTTTCAGAAATGTTTGCTGCTGAGAAAGTTCCCTTGCTTTGTAAGAACCCTGCACTCTCTTTTGGTGACAGTGGGTTTGTGATCTGAGGGACTTACCTTTGCCAAGGTCTCATCATCCAGGTGATTCTTCTGAATCACATGTTGAAGTGCAAAATAAATTTTTTCCTGAAGTTTCTGGACCTTCCTTGGTTCTATCAGCCAGGCTCGGTCTGACAAAAGAAAAAAAAAATGGGTAAGAAGGTAGGGCAGGATATAGCTTTGTTTTATTTCACCTACATATACAAGTGCTGAGTTTTAGATTCATTTCAAATTATGTAGTTCTAAATTGCCTCTGAAGACGTGTAATTATTTATATAAAACATAAATATTTTATAAGCAATAATACCATGAAGTCAGTAATGCATAGTAAAATGAATGACATAGGGCATATATTTGGAGGAGAAGACAATGGTTCGAATAAACTCCTTTTTGTTTCTTATTGTCTGTGACAGTCTGCATGTCTCTTTTTCTGGACAGATGCTTTGAATTTCTTTCAAAGTAGATATTAGTGATTTGTGAAGAAAAGCAATGAGAGCAGTGAGAAAAAAAATATTATACAGGAATATTGTTGGTATACATGATCCCTTCCTTTTCTCAGCTTATTCTTTCATCACATATAGAACTGAAGTTATGTTATACTTTATGCAACATAAACATGAGTTGATTTCAAAAATTTACCCTGAATCCTGTTTTTCTTTTTTTAAATCCTATCTTTTTTTCTATACTAAATGTTTAAATGGTGAACAGGATAATCTGTCCTTTCCTTACTTGCTCCCTCCCTCCCTCTCTCTCTCCTACACCTCTCTCTTTTCACCCTTCTTCCTACTCCTTCCTTCCTTTCTGTCTAAAAGCTTTATACACCCTAGTGATAAAATGCAGCTTAGCATCAATGCCTTAGTTTGGTCCTTCAATGAAGAGACACCTAGAAACTCTAAATGCTGAATAAATACTTATGGAAAATAACTTGGCATGATCCTCCTGAACACAGTTCAGGTCAGGTGAGAAACCCAATTCTGTAACCCTAGACAGGGCAAAGACAAGTCTAGCCAAGAGTTAAGCAAACTCTTACGTAAGTGAGCACAAAGGCCTTCAGTGACAATTTTCAATCAGAATAAATTAAGTTCCCTCCCTTCCCCTTCCCTCAGCTATTTGGAGTTGAATAGACGGTGACTACTAAGTCAAGAACCTGGGGAAAAGCTGGGATAAGCATGAGACAGACACAGACTGGAATCTCTTCCCTGGTTTTGAACATGGCGCTAAGCCAGAGTGGCAAATCAGGTGTTTGGAATGGTGTAGCCTCTGAGTGTGGGTCTGCTCTCAGGGCTGGAAGATTCCACCCTAGGCAGAGCTAGCCAAATCTCCTGCTTCCAAACTTTATAAAACTTGATGAGAGCATGTTATTTTGAGATAAAAGCTAAATAGCTCAGCTGATTTTCAACTCATAAAGACCAGGCTAGCCCTCCTCCTGGGCAATCATTTTCACAACTTATTTAAGTCTGATATGTCATGTGTTAAATATTCCTTGCTAGAAATGTACTGACTTCCACACAAACATATGCAAAGAGGAAAGAGATCCTTTAAAACTCTTCCTTTGAGCAACCAGAAACCATAGTGAAACCATCTCCCTCACCCATAGATCCAGACTTAGATTCAGTCTCCTATTGAACTATACTCAATGAAAACAACCAAATACAATTAAAAGGAACATTATTTGGAATACAGTTGTTCCCAGAAATAAATGTCTCCTTTCATTTCTTCCATCTATCTTTGTGCTTTTCAGGCCTGTGAAACTTTCTAGAATATATACAAAAGGCCCAGAGGAAAAACATGATTTTAGAGCCATAAAAGTAACTGTTGATAAAAGTGATAACTAATTTTCATTTTTGAAAAAGTGGTTAAATAACCAATTATAGCAAGTTAAAAAAAAAAACTGGAAAATCAAACTCTGACAAGACCATTAAGGAATCATGTTAGGAATAATAGAGCCTGATTTTAAAAAAGTATAGAGGTTGGTATTATGGCAATTTTAGCTAGAATAACATATCAAAGACCTAAGGTGTAGTCTCATATGACATGTAAGAATTATTTTTTCCAGCCTCACTGAAAACTATGTTAGTGTATGAGGAAAAGTGATCTACCTCCAGAGACAAATTGTTGCAAAATAAATGAATCTCTTGATCTTAAAAACTAGGCAGAATGCGCTCTTCTCTCAATAGAGTTGTCAATACTGTTGCTGCTATCTCTTGACCAGGAACGTCACTGAACAGACTACAGAGCGACTCTGAATTCTCTTTCTGGTTGAAAGGGATGCACATATTTATTATTATTTTATTTTTATTATATTATCATGATTACATGATTTACACTATTTATTATTACATTTTAAGCTGGCATGTACTTAAAAATTATTTCAATTGCTCTGGTTGATCCATAGATATCACATATTAATTTCTTTAAAACTTTTGGCAATTTGTTACATTTTTGAGCTAGGGAATATTTCCTTTATTATGGAATCCAATCCCCTTACTTTGTAGATGAAGGAACTAAAGCTCTGAGAGGTTAAGTGAGGATAAATGATGAGAAAGTGTTCTTTGGTTTTTTACTCATTTAGTCCTTATGTTGGGTCTTTCATTTAGGTATATTTCTGTAAGTTTCACTCTATTGGACTTTTTTTCCTGTGTCCTTTATTAAGGTCAAAATAAAACACAGCCATTAACTCAGGTCATTATCTATCTTTATTTATTTACTAAGGAACAATTTTGCTTATCTGTAATGATCCTTACCATAGATCCTCCTCTTGTTTTGAGGGGAAAATTCATCATTTGAATAAACTTGAGGTTGCTTCTCTTTGCATTACCCAAAAGTATCAAAACCTTGCTAAATAAAATATAATTCTTTCAAAGTTTTTCCTGAACTTTGGCTTGGGTGGGTGTAATTGATGTTAAACATAGTAAAGCAGGTTTTTTAAAAAGGTAAGGGATCCAAGGCCTCCCTACCTGGAGATATCAGAACAGCAGATGAGAACAAAGCAATCTCTTCTTCGGTCAGTTGCAAGGAACACAAATTCTTTGCAAAGTCAAATGCTTCATTCACTAGGTCATCAGAACCTAGAAGGAAAGAAGGAAAATGGCTGAAGGTGGAAGAGTAAGAAAAGTCTCAGGATCAAAAATTTATTCAAGGACTTGGATACTAGACATGTAGAAAAGACATTTTTAAGCACCTATCCATAAATAGTAATTTTATATTAACTATAGAATGGGGAAACTTGGCGATATCTTGGCCAGGTGAATGAAGGGAGCATAACCAATGAGGGGGACATGGACGTGGTATGGGAATACATAACCCGAATTCCATCCTATAAACCTGAAATTATTTCCATCTAACAAATTACAAATAAATGACTTGAGAATTTTTTTTATAATAGAGATAGCATTCATAGAAAACCCAAAACATTACATAAAGGGGCTAAGGACTGAACCTAGTGCCATTTGAACCTAGCAATAGATAGTGTTTAGGGGCTTCAATTGAGATGTAAGACACTTCTCACAGGATGGAAATGAGCTTTCTGTCAGTTTGGTAATGTCTCTGGCTATCTGATTGAGGAGCACGAGTTATTTATTTTTACCTTCTGATGCATGATACACAGGTCAGTTGCTTAACCACTGTAAAATTTTGCCAAGACAATAGTGCCTCTCTACACTTATCCCTGGTAAATGTTTATTTGATGAAGATGGAAATATACTAAAGTCGCTTGCCAAGGCTTTCCCTACTTTCTTGAAAATCTAGCCTTGGGGACAACTTGGATGTGTGTCAGCTGTGGAAGGGAAACACTGCCAGCCTGGATGGGCTGGTTGCTGACTATTGTATCAGTTAACAGCACAGGAGGTGAAAGAGCAGTGTCCTTCTATGGTGTCCATGGACAGGATATGGAACAAATGGCATTATCAATGGTTAAAACCTTTCCTGGCATCAGCCCATCTTTGCTAATGCTCTTCTTATCCCTGCTGTACACTGATGACTGGACATGATGATACGCGGCCCTTCCAAACAAAGACCGACTCTATCAGTGCCTCCCGTGACAATGGTCTGAGAATCATTTTGACCCCCAACTCTATAGGTGCTCCCAGAGTTTCACAAGTTCACAGGGAGAACATCATTACTCTGGGGGGAGAAACAAGTGAAGAGTTTCTCTTTTAATTATCTTGACTAGAGATTATGAATTTACTAAGAAATTTAGGAGGTCACCTCCATAGGCCACCATATAATATAATTTGTGAAGCAGTAAACAGCAAAGAATGACCTACAGTGCCTCCCCAATTTTTCAGATCATGGCTAATCTTTATTTTTTCATGAAGTTTTAGGCGCAGACTCAATAGGGCCCACAGTTTTCTTCTTCCTTTCCTATTAGATTAGCCATAATTGTAGGACCAGCAGAGTTGGATGAAGTTCAGAGGCTCAATGTGCCCTACTCTTACTGAATAATGAGATACTAGCTATAATTAAAGAATCAATACATTTTACTTGGCAGTTTAAATCCAAGTGGAGAAGTTTATGGTAGCTAATAAAATTGTACCAGCGGCAAAAGGAAGCTTACCTAAGGCTTTGAACATTTGCATTCCTCCATATTTTCCTTCAAACAGAACAGTGTTGTTTAATGGGTTGAAGGCACGGCACATTCTCACTAAAACCACTTCCAAGCAACCTAAGAGTTAAAAACAATTAAACCATGTATACGTATCCAGTAATGAAGTAGTTATTACTGAGTGTAAGTGCAGATGTTCAAGAACTTTAACACAGACCCAGATGCACACAGACACCCCAATATGGAAACCCTTCAAGATTCTTTCCCCTAAGATAACTATTTTAGAAATAAGACTCTCTTGATAATCATGTGAGGAAATTAAAGAGAAAATATACTTTAAAGTTGAAATGGAGGGCACCAAAAACATTTTTTGGGGGGGAAGCATTTCTTACTATTTTTTGACTAATATTATAGGTAGTTTCAATTCTTGAATTCACAATTGATGATAAATGGCTCAGAAAGGAACTTTGCAGGAGCTGAGTCTTGTCTATTGTCTTTTTAAAAAAATATTGTTTACTTGTCAATGGACCTTTATTTTATTTGTTTATATGAGGTGCTGAGAATCGAACCCAGTGCCTCACACATGCTAAGCAAGTGCTCCACCACTGAGCCAAAGCCCCAGCCCTTATCTATTGTCTTTTGTAGAAGTTATGCTATTGGGGAGACATTACTCTCTACTTCACCTGCCACATGGAGTTTCTAACAGGCTCCCTCCTTATTTCAGCACAGGATGATATTAAATAGAAACTCTGTGTGTTTCTTGAGAGACACCATTTACATCTAATGCTCTTTGAAATGAATGTTTCTCGGACAAATAGGTTTTTGCAAAATGCTAAATTATCTCACTCCAGAGAGATATAATCAACATTCCCAGATCACAGGCTCTGAGAAGTTCCAACTTGAAGAAGTTTGATTAACCTTAATGAACTTAGAATGTTTTTGAGTTTGCTGTCAGCTCAGTGAGGGCAGGAACCTTGCCTGCAGCAACAGGCAGTTGAGGTCATTGCATTCACTTTTGCATTTCTGGGACCACAAAGAGTCCCTGGCACATAGTAGGTGCTAAATGATATTTTTTAAATTTGTTTTTCCCTCTGAACATTTATTGATATCATGAGGAACTATTGCGGCAGTTTCTCCACATGTTGGAGAGATGGGCTTTTATCCCATAGTGTAGTAGAAATTGACAACTAGACTCCAAAGCCCCAAATATGCATGACAGCATCCTACTGATAATTTGGCTACATCCTTGGTGTCTTCTTATGGCATCACTTTATATTTGTCTGAGTTTTATTTCCTTTGCTATGCTAATTTCTCATTGCTTCCTAACATGGGGACTTCCACACATGAGAGGATTTGCAAACATTTATTGAAGCAAGGCTTTCCCACAACAATAAAAATGCTCACCATTTACTGATGTTCTACACTATAGAAGGCACTTTCTTTGGCCCCTTACAATTGTTATCATACCTGCTCCTTGAAATAACCATTTTAGGTGAGTTTTATTATCCCTGTTTTGTGAATGAGTTACAGAAGTTTTAAGGATATTAAGTAGCTTGTCTTTTATACTGGAGTCAACATATTTACAGCAGGGAGAGATGTTAAAGATTACATAATGTCAGTGGTTTCCAAATGTCAGTCCATGGATTGGTGATATCTGAGTCTTAGAAATACAATGAATGGGGCTCTCTTCCAGGAGGTTCAGATTCCCTGGCTTGTGATGATGGCTGTTTCTGAACTGTCAACAACCTCTTACGGCGCTCCTGATGCAACTCCAAGTTTGGAATTGATTGTTTCTAGTACACCACTTTAATTTACAAATGAGAAAACTACCATCTTGAGAGGTTAGTTCAAAGTCATATAATAAGTGGGATAGATTTTATTGTTCAAAGAGAGTCATCAAAATATCTCCTACTCCACATGCTTTTCTAGACCTGACCAAATCAAGAAGTTGTATCCACTTCTGCTACCCCTGAGACCAGGTAAGCTTTTGTTACTGCCTTGACTGAAGGGTATGGTGGAAGTAACACTATGTGATTTCTGAGGCTAACTCGGAGAGATCTATGCACTGTTGTCTTGTTCTTTCAGAGTGCAAGCTTTGGGAACCCAGTGACTATGTCATCAGGATGTCCAAACAGTCTGTGAAGATGCTCATATGGAGAGCCACTGAGGTCCCTAGCCCAGAGCCTTGTCTGAACTCCAGCTGTCAACAAGCACACTTTGCAAGCCATGGGATACAACCAATTTGAAAGTAGGTACTTTTCTCCCCAGCGAAGTCACCTCATGGCATAGAGATAAACCATTCCTGCTGAATCCTGGCCAAATTGTAGCTTTAAGAGCAAAATAAATGATTGTTGTTGTTTTAACTAAATTTTAGGGTTTTTAGAAAACTGATAATATTCAAATTAGCATGGTTTTTCTCAATTTGCATCATTTGGTAAAGAAGCAGCAACATCGTGTAGAATAGTCATCATCTTTAACCCAAGTTCAAACACCAGATTGCCGCATATTGGCTTTGTGATATGAACACAGTCTTTCACTTCTCTGAATTTTTACCTCCTCTGGTTTAAGATGAAAATAACCTCAGAAGACTAAATGCGATGACATAAGTAAACATGAAAATGCATACATATATTATGACATGTAAAAAAGGATGTTATTATTATTACTGTGTCATGAAGATTAACACAAACACCATGTTGTTCTTATTTTCTGTTTTCAAAGGGAGCTGAGTAAGACAAGTCATCATTTTTCCTATTAAGTAATAGGATCTGCACAGTAAGTTATATGCAGAATTTCTTGGGCTACTTCCTAAGTGATTGTGTGTATGTGAGAATGTACCAGAGAAGGGTGGAAAAGATTAGAGCACGTTGAAGATTCTCCCAGCATACACTGGCTTCAGGCTATCCTCATTAAAAAGATTGGAAATGACCACAGAGGCAGAGCTCAACTAGCCTGTATTTTTTTTTTTCCCCTCACAGAAAGCAAGGAGTAGGTTTTAGCGCCAGCTCAGCAATTCAGCCACCTTGACACACTAATTACTTGCACTGCCTGTCAAGCTGGCTATCTCAACCTACACAATTAATAGCTCCACTTTCAATAAGCAAAATTGTATTTGACTTCAAAGTGGACTGAATGGGGTTCAGGGCATTTGCATTACTGAGAGTTTCCTTTGGGAGTTAGCTGACAATGTGGGTGGTAAAAAACGGTCTATCTATTGAAAGAATTTTCTAGAATCCTCACAGAGCTAAAGATTGACCACGTCCTGGTCTAAAATTGAGAATATCATGCTAAGTGAAATAAGCCAAACTCAGAAACTCAAAAGGTCAAATGTTTTCTTTCATTTGGGGAAACTAGAGTAAAATAAAGGAAAGGAGGAAGGAAGGATAGGATACCATTTTAAAAAACCAATCAAATGTAAATTAATAGATGAGGGGAAGGAAGTCTAGAAGAGAAGAGGAAGGAGAGGAGGAGAGGGGAGGGAATTCAATTACTAATGTTTAACTATAAAGCTCTAATAATAATAAAAATAAAATCAAAAAAGCCCTCCTGAGTTAACTCCTGGCTTACCTGATTTCAGAAGCAGTATCTGATCATTTTGGCAGAGTTCCATGAAGCCTGTTATCCGCTTTGCAAACTCCACCACGTACTGGATGGCATGAGTGATCTGGATGGCACATTGCTGCCACAGTGCTTCCCTGGACTTCAAGAGAGAAAACACAACATGTAAGTAGAGCCAGGAACTCCATGGAGAATAAAAAAACAAAAACAAAAACAAAAAGAAAAAAACCCACTCAAGGTTGCCTTATGGGTTACCTGTCACTTGGGACCCAAGGTTGGAAATTAGGAAGAGGAGGGCAAATTATTTTTATATTTATGTTCGATTTATTTGAACCTCAATATGCCCCAATGATCAAAGTGCTGAGGCTAAATTGGTAGAGTGTGTGAAGATGGTTATTTTCCTTACTAATTTCCACCCCCTCCCTCCTTTCTTAAACTCAAGTCTTGGTCCATCCTATAAAAGTAAATCCTTGCTTTGAAGAATAGCAATTTAATTCATAGTCCTCCCTCCTTCCATAATGCCATTTTCACAGGTAGTTGATGGACATTAAACTTGTAATATTTTTATGTTGTGTTCTTTTTCTAGAACGTATGGAGTATTGTCGTTGTTTGTCTGGGTGTATGTAGTACTGAGGATCGAACCCAGGGCAAATGCTCATCCACTGAGCAACATCCCCAGTCTGAGATTGCTTTTTGTATAAGAAGAATTCCAAGGTAAGAGGCATCAGATGATATTAAATCACTCTCATGAGTAATACAGAAGCCCAAAAATATAGCTCAAAGTTATTTTCTTTAAACTGAGAAATCTAATTTACATATGTGTTAATTCTGCTTTTTACTGACCATAGCAATATCTATGCCTTTGTTTCCGTATAAAAGTAGTAAGAGTTATTCATCATGTCAGAGAAAAATCAGTGTTTGTTTAAATCATACATTTAGATGCACATTTATATATTTTGTTAAAATTCCATCATCTCAATCCCAAAGTCCAGTAACATGAATACTGAACAGAAAGAATTAACATCTTCCTTTAAAATCTTCTCCAATGTACACAAAAGAATCCTACTAATACTAATAATATGGGGAGAGTTGTCCTTTTCCCTTGGGTTCCTTTTAATTTATAAGGTAAAAAAAAAAAAAAACGTTTTAGGATGCCATGTTCTACATTTTTGTTGCTAAGTGTGATATGATTATTGCTGCTCTGATTACTCAATGGCTCCTGCTCTTTGCCTGAATCCAAGAAGCCAACATGAGATGTCCTAAAACCACCTGATGAACATTGAGTCTCTCTGGTCACTACAGTGGGACGGTGATGCCTCCTGGGGAACACTGCAACATCTAGAGACATTGTCACAACTGTGTGAGGGTGGTACTATGTATTTATACCTAGACAGGGATCCTGCTAAATATCCTATCATGCACAGAACAACCCTCACAACGAAGAATAATCTAGCCTAAAATGTTGATGGTGCTGAGACTGAGAAAATCAGAAATGGGGTAATCACAGAGAAGTTTCCTGTTGTTTCTCAGAGTACCTTGCTTTGATAGGCTTTGATTTCTTCATAGGTGTGGGTCTGCCATGCCAGCTGGTGCAGCTCTTCCATGGTGTACTGACATGTCTCCAAGTGGGACTTAATGATGTTCTGTGCAATTCGATCTGTGAGAAAGAATATCAGTTCCAGAGTTTGTGAATAAGATAATTCTATTAAATCAAAATTGTTTTTATATGTTTACTATAGAAATGCCTTTTGGAGATTCTCCGAGTGCACCAAACTATCTTTAATATTACTATCTATCTTAAAATCTCCCAAATCTTGCCTTTTTTTCAATTTTCAGTTCTCTGATCAAAATTTTCTGCCTTTTCTCTTTTCTGCTCCTTCTTGCCCATAGCCTTGGTTTCTTACAAATTGTTAAGCATTCAATTAACTATTTAATATTAACACACACATGAAATTACTTTACTGCTTGCTTTTGGGGCCTAAAAGTCCACTAATAGTTTTAATACATATACTCCAAATACTTTTTTTTCAAACGTTTTGAAAATCACTAAAATCCTATTTTATTACAGAACGAAGGAATTAAAATATAAAAGCATTTGCTCGTCTTTGAAAAATGGGATGATATGGGGACTAGAGGTATAGTTTAGTGACAGAACATTTGCCTAGCACATGCAGGCCTGGGTTCAATCCCCAGAACTGTGAAAAAATAAAATTAAAAAAAATAAACATTTAAAAAAGAGAGGATTAAATAATAAGCTATACAGAAAGAGGGAATAGGGTGGAAGGCAAGAGATGGAAGCAAAACTTTGATGATATTAGTTATAGATTTGGTTTTGGAACCACGTATATATCTTAAGATGAAATGATTTGGACCATGAGTTGATAATTACTTAAACTGGTTCATGAGAGCCATTATATTCAACTTTATAGTTTTTTGTATGATGACATCTTCCTTTAAGATATTTTAGAGAGGAATGGGAATGTAGCTTGGTGGTAGAACACTTGCCTAGCATGCACAAGGTTCTGGATTCAATCCTTAGTACTGAAAAAAAAAGTTTCAGAGAAAATGATTATATTCATAAAAGGTAGTAAGAAACTAAATTAATCTTTGCAGGCAGTCTATCCTAAACGAGTTGTATTTTACAACTTAAACACCAATCATTTTGGCTTTGGAGGTGTGAGAGTTGAGTGATAGAACCACATGCAAGAGCTCTTCTTATAAACTTGTTCTGTGTCCCTTAAAGTTGCACAGAGCTGGCAGGAGGGCCTTCATACTCCCATCTGCTATTTGAATACATGGAAAGGGGGACAGCTTGGGAAACCAAAATACTTGGGAATTCTGTATGTGGGGCATGCATAGAACAAAGATGACCACATCCTCCTGATAACGGTTGTTGGCTCACCCAGAAATGGAATCTTTCTTGTGTTTCAGGCTGTCCCCTTGCATGTGCAATTTCTGTTCTTTTCTTTTGCTAGATGGCTGTATTTTGTTTCTCCAGGATAGCCCTCAAAGAAGTACTTGGGCACTTTCCTTTGACCTCACAAAACTCCCCCTATATGTGGTGTGAAGTAAATTGAGTTGCTGTGCTATGGAGAATGAGAAATGTACATTTAAACTTTGGATGAACTTTCCCAAATAAAACTCTCCTTAGATGATTGCCTGGCATATTGTATACATTGAATAAATAGTAGCCCAAATTATCATTATTAGGGCATCTTGTGCAGTTTGTTGTCAGGGAAGAAATATGATGACTGCAAGGGAGAAAAAGCAGATACCTGGTTTTGCAATCAGTACTACCAAAGGAAGACATTTCAATATCTTTTAGAGCTTTTCATCAAAACTATAAATGGAGAGAGGTAGAAGATGCAACAAAATACTAACTTAAGATCATAGTTATAGTCTATTAGTTTCAGCACTGGGCATTTCTAGATTTTCATTGCTTATCATATTACAAAATCCTTTCTTTAAAAAAATCTTATATTCAAAGTTTTATTGAATATTTCTCAATGTTATAAAAAAGGGCAGGGATGATTCTATACATCATATAAAAATAGATTGTCAAGTCATAGCTCATCATTTTTCAATTTCATCTGGGCAGTCTAATTATTTAGATTCTACAAAATGTATCTGCTTTCTGGTAGGCATATAATGAAAACACAAGATTTTATAGCTGTATGGCTTTCAAACTTTTATAACTTTTTTTGTGGAGCAGTTTGTTTTCATCTTCAAGGATATGCTGATTTGTTGGTAATTTACAGGCTCCAGGGTTTATAAGCAAATCTGGAATTGCTACTCAAAATTGCATTATGAAAAACTATCTGCTCTTTTTGGTTATCTTCTGGGAACTACTGACCAAAGTGAAGAAATCTCTGTCCTTCTATCACCAAAACTTAGGGACCTACAGGGTATGAAGAAGAGCAAGCATAATAGATATGCAGACAAGCTAAGCAAAATTAGAAGTTAAATCCACACACATGCTCCTGGTCAGGTGTCCATTCCTGGTGAAGGCTTCCCTGTCTCCCTGTGACCTCCAACAGAAGGTATCTGCCTGCTGGTATTTGTGATTCGACCCTTTTGAGTCATTATTCTGGCAAGGGTTGTTCTGGGATGATTTCTGTGGATCTGTTTGGCTCAGATCCTTCAAGATTGCAAGCTCATCAAGAACTGGATGGTAGAGTCCAGCACAGAACCATCAAATGTTTAGTCAACAAGTATCTTTTTGAGCAATTATTATATACTAGGTCAAGGAAACAAAAGACACTGCTTTCACTCTTAAGGAGCTCCGAATCACATCATATCATGATGTAATAAGTGTCCTGAGGTATTGTGGGAGCCCAAAGAAGAGAGGGTCTGGCTCAGCTGGGGGAGGCAAAAAAATATAACCACAGAGGAGATGACGTGGGTCTTAAGGATGTACAGGAGTTTGTGACATGGAAGAGAGAGAGATGCAGCTCAGGGAGAGGGAACAATACTCTGAAGGCACAGGAAGAAAACTAGCTGTAGGCTGGGTAGTTTCAGAATTATCTTACATCTTTATAACCCTTACTTTTATATAACCAACCCCTCTTTCCCTGAGGAGACAAGTGAGGTTCAGAAAGAGGGGGTGACTCTGGACCAGTCTTTTCAGAGTTAGCAAATGATGCTTTGAAATTAGGTCTGTGTTTTCCAGCAAGAGGTCTAGTGTGTTTATAACATAGGGTACATGGAGCCTGGGGAGAAATGAGGAGAGGTTAGAAACTGTGATTGGAATACAAACTGCCAGGTAACCATGCCCTGGAATTTCAATGTCTAGGATTTAAATTTTATCTTTGTATTTTATCTGGTAGTCAACTGGGAGCTAGTGAAGTCATGACACTAACATAGTCATTTTTTAGAAGAATGATCTTGGCCATGGTGAAGAGAATGAGATGTCATAAGCAAATAAATGAAATTAACCAGGCTGTTGTGAAAATTTGGGTAAGATATGATGAGATACTCCACCAGGTGATAATGACAGAGATAGTGGAGATGGAGGGTTTGGATGCAAGACAATTATGAAGGAGAATGCACAGGACCAGTCGAGAGAGTGAGAAAACATTAAATAGAGTAGGCACTTGACCAATGTTGAATTAGCGTAAATAAGGCTGAAAATGTCTATCAATCTCCGCAAACATCCTTCTACCTTCTGCTTTATTTCAAAAAGAATTTGAGAAAGTTAAGATTGGCCCTAAAATCTTTGAAGTCAATACTAAATGTGCATTGCTAGTTCCTGTGCCCTTGTGGTAAAAAAATAAAACGGAGATCTCTTTGGGACATAAGATGTACACGAGGCCAGGAGGGTCAACGTGCTGTAGCTGCAGTTGCAGATCCCATCGACCCCTCTGCTCTCTCCCACTGTTGCAGTGCAGAGGTGAGCCACGTGCAAAACCCAACTTTGACTCTCTTGAGGCTCAGATCGATAAAGCATACAGTAAAGCCAGACTTGGTCTCATGGGAGCAGGGCCGGAGGGCTCATTCTGTCCTTTAGAAAGATGCTTGAACAACATCAGAGGAGACGGTTTGCTTGGACTGAGAGTCTGCAGTTGTGAAAAAGGGAGAAGGGCTTAAAAAAGAAGGGACAAAGGGAGAGACAATGAATACAGTATGCAAAGTTCCTGCTGGGAGCCAAAAGAATGTTCAAGAGTCCTTGCCTGGAAAAATAGAAAAGGTAATAGTAAACGCAGTCCTCTCCAGGGACCAACCACATGAGAAAGTCCAGACAAAGAGACTGAGGCAAAAGAGCAGAAGAGATGGAATCTACTGGGGCAACTGCACACCCTTCATCCGTTACCCTGACTTGGATTGCAGCTATTTCTCAGAGCTGAGTTTTTGTCGGATTTGTTCACTGCTTGGGCTGCAGACAATATGTGTTGAATAAGGAGCTGGCATGCTCTGGGCTGGCATAATGGGTCCGACAGGAATATGGGGGAGAAAATGAAATCATGGGAAATTCTCTCACCTCTCGAGGTGATGCATGTGGACTCTGTGGACTACACTCTGGCCCATCTGAGATCAGGGATGAGGCTGGTAATTTCTTAAGTGGACGTGGAAGGGAACCTGGAGTGAGAACCACTAAATCGCCTGAGTAAAGATTCTGTACACGTTTAGTTACATAAAGGTTTGTCCAGATCACTAAGAGGGCAAGAGCTGCTTTGATAGTTCATAAAGGATGAGGAAGGAGAAAAAGAATTTCATATGCTCAGTCCACTTCTTCATTTTCAGCCATGGGGAGGAACAATGTCAGTATTGATGTAGGAAAGGGAAAGCTGGGTGCCATCACAGGTAAACACCAAGTCTGTATTCCTTGTTTTCTATGTAGTAATTTCATGAAAAATAACTTGGTCTCATTCTCTCCCTCCCTCCCCTCCCCATTTCCCTTCTGTGAACCCAGATGGGTAAACATATAAAACTACCCCCCCCATAACTGTTTTGTCTGTCTTTTGGTTCTATCTTGTCTTGGGGGATAAGCCTTGTTGAAACCCAAGATTTACATTCATGTAATATAATCTGGAACTTCATATATCAACTAACTTTTGGGGTTGAAAAATGACAATGTGAGATTCAAATGAAATGAAATAACTGAGAATAGCTTTAAACTAATTGACCTAAGTACTTCTCTATCATTTTGATGAAAAAAAA